AGATATGACCTGAAAAGTAAGACGTAAAATATAGATGGTTGGGTATTTGAAATACGTTATCGAGTGGACCTCATAAAAACATGTGTCTCCAAAGACTAAGCCCCATATATATGTATATGCATATACACTTATATGTATAGCTTTGATTCCATCCACATTAACCAAGCACCTATAATTCTGTATTTTTCTCTATCTTACTACTTTTTTTTCTCCAAAATGAAGCAAAGCAGCAGGGCTGGTGTTCGTTCCTGCCCTAGGTATTGGCCATATTGCGTCCTCGTTAGAGATCGCAAAGCTCTTTGTTGCTCGATATGAACTTGGATCCTCGTCGAATTCTCTTTGTGAGGATCTCGGGAATCTGTTAATCGTATCCGTTCATTATACATCGCGCGGTCAGAAATTATTTTAATATTTTTATATAAAATTAAACAAAAACAATACTTGACAAAAACTGACCGCATGATGTGCAATGAATGCACACGATTCACGGATCCGGAGGATCCTGTTGGGCTCGATACGACCGTCTTTTCATTACCGTGATTAGTTGTGGGTCAATAATCTCACTTTACTGTCTTGGTAACAAAGCGGGTTTCCCATGATCCGACTCAACCTTACGACCGTCTTAATTGTGAACAAATCCCGACCCCAGCATTTCAATTGTGAACAAGATTCTGATTCAATGATGAATCTTTCGTTGCTTTTAGAAAGAAAAAGAAAGGGTTATCGAGGTCGAATTGATTGCACATGTGGCCCACTAAAGAATTTTTTATATATAATCTGCAAATTTGTTCATCGTTATGTTTGGAATATTTGAATTTTTATTTAAGTGAAAAATGAAAACGAAATGACTATCAAACAACTTCATAACAAAGGTAGAAAAATATATTTAATAGGAATATCAACAATTCAATTTATGAATAAATGTTAACAAATATTTCGATATTGATACCATTATCGTTGTAACATCCCACATCGTCCAGAGGAGTGGATCATGTAAGCCTTATATGTATATTCTCATCTCTACTTAGTAGGAGATCTTTTGGGAGCTCACTCGCTTTGGGTTCCATGGGAACTTCGAAGTTAAGCAAGTTCGCGCGAGAGCAATCCCATGATAGGTGACCCATTGGGAAGTTCTTGTGTGAGTTCCCAGAAACAAAACCGTGAGGGCGTGGTCGGGGCTCAAAACGGATAATATCGTGTTATGACGGACTCGAGCCCGGGATGTGGTGGGGGCCCGGGCCGGGATGTGACAATCGCTAACTGTTGATTGAAATGATATAAACTTGTAATTTTTGATTAAAAATGTAGGACATTTTTATTACCTAATAATGTATGTATAAAACATCCTAAAACACAATAGGTTCTAGTTGTACTCATTGGCGAAGGCACCAAGAACCTCGGTGGTCCTAAGCACTGTCAACTACTTAAATAGGAGAAAGGATCCTTGCCGGATCTTTTTGTGAGGATTCCAGAGATCTTCAAATCACATTTGTTCATCGTACATCGTGCGGTCAGAAATCATTATAAATTTTTTTATTTAAAATTGAATATAAACAGTACCTGACGAAAACTGGTCGCACGATGCATGATGAACGGATGTGATTGGAGGATACCTGGGATCCACAAAGAGGATCTGGCAAGGATCCTCTCTCTTTAAGGCCATCTCCAACCAAAGAATGGCTAGAAGGCTCGTTTTAGCTCTATAGCCCTCCAAGAAATTAATATTTTAATGAATAGTATCAGGCCATATTTCTTACCATCTCAAAGCAAGGGGTGAGAGGGCCATAGGCCAAATATAGTCCTGTGACAAAAAATCATCTCCAACTGAGGGGGCCATAGGGCCAAACATAATTTATTATTTTAATTGAATTAATATAGTTACTTAAATTAAACTACTTCAATAATTTTTCGAGATGGAATGTCAATAATTTTTTGAGTTGGAATCTCAATAATTTTACGTCTCGAATTTCGAATACCACGTGTCGATCTATGAGTAACTTAGGGCTGGGTTCGGTTCTAAGCGGTTCGGTTTTTTCCCAAAACCGAAACCGAACCGAAATTTCGATTCGGTTCGGTTCAATTTTTTTCGGTTTTTCCGGTTCGATTTCCGTTTTTTCATGACTTTTTTTTTTTATCTGGAACAAATCTGAAAAGATTGATTGAGCACTGAAGAGAAAAACACAGAGAGCCTTTCTTGAACAAATATGCCATGGATCTTGAACAAATAAAGCTTTTTTTTTTTAATCTGGAACAAATCTGCCATGGATCTGGCATTATTAGGTGTTAGTGCGCCTTTCTTGTTGTGGATCTGAGAGTTCTCGAAGAGAAAAACACACATGCATGTGTTAATTCTTTGATTTTTTCCATGAAAATAAACCCAATAGAACTAAATAGCAGCCAACCAGGAGAGATTTTTACCTTGGCGGTTTGTTTTTAGTCCCAAACCTCTCGTCAGCCATGGCAACACCTATGCATCTGTTGCCAAATTGGAAGATTATACAAAATCCCAACAAAATAAAGAAAAACCCATTTTAATTCAGTAAATCACAATATAAAATTATAAATCATATTCGTTTTGATTTGAAAATTACCTGTGAGAGATCGGAAAACCCGGATTAGAATCTTCCAATTTGGAGGGGGTTCCGATTCGAAAGGGGCGAGGGAAAATCATGGTGTGGAAGAAGGGAAAATCATGGTTTGGAGAAGAGGAGGAGGACATGAGAAGACTGGAGAGAGAGTGATTTGGAGGAAGAGAGGAAGAAGAGAGAGAGAGAGAGAGAGAGAGAGACTGAGGAAGCAGCGAAAATGGGAAATGGGAGAGAGATAGTGTTTGAGATATGAAATGGGAAATGGGAAATGGGAGTGAGACGACTAGGGTTTGTAAAGTTAAGAAATTTTATAAAGCATTAAATACAAGAAACCTATAAATAACTTACTGGTGCAATTATTACAATTCAAAGCCTACAGTCAAGTGGGCTTGCAGCGACTAACCCCAACCTGCAGGGAAGGGGTTTAAACCTTGACGCCTGCATGTTTTTTAGTATTTATATTTTTTTTTCTGTTCGGTTCGGTCCAGTTTGGTTTCCGGACCTTAAAAATTGAAACCGAACCAGCCAAATTCGGTTCAGTTCGATTTGGCAGCTTCGGTTCGGTTTTTTTCGGCTTCGGTTCAATTTGGTTTTCGGTTTTTTCTGTTTTCGGTTTTTTGAACCCACCCCTAGAGTAACTTTGCAGGTTTATTATCAATAAGGAATCTCAATAATTTTACGTCTCGTATTTCGAATACCACGTGTCGATCTATGAGTAACTTTGCAGATTTCTTGTCGATAAGGAATCTCAATAATTTTACGTTTCGGATTTCGAGTGTCATGTGTTGATCTGTGAGTAACTCTCTAGATTTCTTGTCGATATGTAATCTCAATAATTTTTTGGATAGGATGATACATTTGCGTGCCACAAACAAGTACCTACAACAGGATCTTGTTGCACATCTTTGGGCCAAAAGAAGCATGGAGCAAGCGTTTAAGTTTTATGTTGTTAAGTATTTTTTTTATGTTGTTTAAGTTTCATGTTATTAAATATTTTTTAATGTTGTTTAATGTTACTTAATGTTATTTAATGTTGTTTAATATTGTTTAATGTTGTATAATGTTACTTAATGTTATTTAATATTGTTTAATGGCTTAGGTAATTATAGGAAAAAAATTAATTTTAAAAAAATGTAAAAAAAAATTTATTCAAATTTAACGGCTAGCTGATGTCAGCAAGTAGCCATTGGGATTCAAAACGCTGGACCAACTGGGGTTGCCTAGCTGGCTAGTTTGGGCAAGCCAGTTGGCCCAATTCTCCTTTTGTGGCTCGATGAGGCCCACGAGCCATTTGACCTAACCTTCTTAGGGCTATTTTCGGTCCTATGATCCTCTGGCCGGATCGGTTGAAAATGGCCTAAATAGACGTGTATTAGCACTCTGAAATTATCACATGCATCATTTACGTTTTAAAATTGCATTCTTCAGATCCACATGCATCGTGTTTGTTGTAAACTTGTAATCCATGGATCCTATGCGAGAATATACGCTTCCTCATCAGAGATATATTACACACACACGCAAATATATTTATATATATATATATGTATGTATGTATGTATGTATGTATGTATGTATGTATGTATAGTTGTTTAGTTGTGTGGTAATCAAGGAACCACGAGGATATTCAGTTCACTGATATGAACTGCTGTCCCTTCCATCAGCTGGTATACCTAACAAATGGTCACAGCTAATTCTCATAACATTCTTCTTCTCTTCTTAATTTCTATTGATTTTCAACTGGAAACTGCATGTTCTAGTTAGGGTATTAATAACTAGCAAATGACAGCAAAGGCATGACATCATCACCTCTATCTGAAAAATTCCAGGAATTAAAACACCAGCGCCATACCACCGGCCATGCATGCACATGATATATAGGACATGGAATAATACTTGGCTATTGAAACGTTGAGGAGATATCTTCCTCAAATGCGTTGTTACAGATTCACACAATTTTGTACTTACAATTAGAATTTTTCATATTATACATCACTGTGTAAAGATCACCTCTACAAATAATAAAAAAGAGTGAGATCGTTGTGTTATAAAATTCAGTCAAAATTAGTAAAAGTATTACGAACTTTTTTATCCATTTGCTGAAATTGATTGATAGAACAAACTTTGTTTTAATTTTATTTTTTTTAGTAAAGATGATCTTTACATAATGATTTACATCATTAACTATTTCGATCATTATAACACGAAGTTCTGTAAATCGTCCACGAAACATTTTAAGGAGGAATTCCTCCTCATCTTTGAGTGATCAAGAATTATTCTATGATTTATATACCCCCAATGTACTGGTATTAGAGAACTCGCTAATACAAGTATAGGTCCCACTGTTATTTAAAATACCGTGCACTAAAATGCAGTCTACGTAGTATTATATATATAGATGATTTTCAGCTGAACTTAGCATTTCAATAAAATACTTCTTCCACACTAAATCGAAATGAAGAAGCCAGCAGAGCTAGTGTTCGTCCCAGCCCCAGGCATTGGCCACATCATATCAACGGTTGAGATCGCAAAGCAACTCGTCGCTCAAGATGATCAACTCTTCATCACAATCCTCATCATGAAGCTCCCCTTCGACAAACTCTTCACCAACACAGACTCTTCAATCTCACACCGCATCAACTTCATCAACCTCCCCGAAACCCTAGTCGACATACCACTCGTCTTCCCCTTTTTCGTCAACCCATTCGTTGAGAGTCACAAAATCCACGTCAAAGAAGCTGTCACGAAACTACTCACTGATCAATCAGCTCAGTCCGAGTCCAAAAACCCTAGGGCTCTTGCCGGGTTCGTCATTGACATGTTCTGCACCTCTATGATTGACGTGGCAAACGAGTTTGGAGTTCCTTCTTTCCTCTTCTACACATCCAGCGCCGCCATGCTAGGGCTCTGGTTGCATCTCGCGTCGCTTCGCAACGAACACGACAAGGATATCTATGAATTGATTAACTCGAGTACTGAGTTGGTCATCCCGAGTTTTGTCAACCCTGTGCCCACTAAAGTGTTCCCTAGTGAGCTTTCGGACAAGGAAGGCGCCGCGATCTTCCTCGACTTTGGAACTAGGTTTAGAGAAACCAAGGGTATTTTGGTGAACACGTTCTCGGAGCTGGAAGCCCATGCGATTCACTCCCTGTCGGACGGTAAGACCCCTCCGGTGTACCCTGTGGGGCCCCTGTTGAATCTGAAGAGTGATGATACTCGTGTGGCTCCGGATAAGGCCAGAGAAAAGTCTGATATCCTGGATTGGCTTGACGATCAGCCCCCGTTGTCGGTGTTGTTCCTGTGCTTCGGGAGCATGGGTAGCTTCTGTGAGGCCCAAGTGAAAGAGATAGCCTGCGCGCTGGAGCACAGCGGGCTTCGGTTCTTGTGGTCCCTACGCAAGCCCCCGCCCAAGGGGACCTTGACCTTGCCAAGCGACTATGCGGATCCCAAGGCAGTCTTGCCCGAAGGGTTCCTTGATCGGACAGCCACGACCGGGAAGGTCCTAGGATGGGCTCCGCAAGTGGCGATATTATCTCACCCGGCGGTCGGAGGTTTCGTGTCGCATTGCGGGTGGAATTCCGCTCTGGAGAGTATATGGCACGGCGTGCCGATTGCGACGTGGCCAATGTACGCAGAGCAACAATCGAATGCATTTGAGCTGTTGGAGTTGGGATTGGCAGTGGAGATTAAGATGGATTATAAGACGGAGAGTGAAGTAGTGGTGAGCGCAGAAGAAATAGAGAGAGGGATTAAGGAAGTGATGGAACTTGATGGTGATACAAGGAAGAGAGTGAAAGAGACGAGTGAAAAAGGTAAAAAAGCCTTGGAGTTTGGTGGTTCCTCTTACACTTCATTGGGTCGTTTTATTGATCAAATTTAACTTTTTATTCAGCACAGTTCAATATCATTTTATGAATGGTTGCAGTAACTATTTTTCATATGTTTCTTTCGTTGTATCAAGTTTGGCATTGTTTATGGTAACAACGGGGAAAGATGAATAAAGTTTTCAAGTTTGGTTTAATATGTAAAGAGGAATTTCATCTACGTTGCAACATTTGTCTTTGAATACTTATAAAAATGTCGAGAATGTTATGTATGGTACATCGAAAATAAAAATGTCCCATTGGCAATTCGATTGTAGAATTGAACACATAATATAAGGTATTTAATTTCACCTGGAAAAATATAGGTGTTGCATAATTAGTACTTTCAATTTCAAAGGTCTTTGACCCTTACACCTGCCGCCCAATCTGTTTTGGGTTATGCTATTCACAGTCGAATTATTGCCGCCAATGTGTATTGGGTCATGAATATATGTGCTTCACTTCACCTTGTCGATGTTGATTGAAAGAGAAATAATCAAGCATAAGATTGTAAAGGGCTAAAAGGTTGTGAAGGCACTACAGGACATAGAGTTGGGGACAAGGCAAGTGATTAATCATTTCTCTCTTATCAAAACTTGATAAGTAAATGTGATATAGTACAATCTTTCTATAATCATGTTGGACTAAAATAATTGTATAACTATGGGAGCTAGAGGTTATAACTAGGGGTGTGATATCCACACACCCCTTTTTACTTCTCTCACACCCTTTTAATTTTTGGTCGTCGGATCGAATGAATTAAAGAAGATCAAATGACAAAAGTTAACAAGGGGTGTGAGAGAAGTAAAAAGAGGTGTGTGGATAAATGTATAGTTAAAAAATAAAAAATAAAAAGAATAAGAAAAGGAAAACCTGATATAAGTCGTTTTTTTTTAACCAATAGTAGAAATTGTCCAGTTTATTAAAATAAGTCTAATTCCTTAAATCTAATTATTTTATTATTAAGAATTATCTCTTCAATGATAAGATTTATTATAAAAATTAAACTTCTTCCTAATTATCTCTTTGATTATTTCTGTTTTTTTTTAATGTCTTGTTCTTCCTCGCTTTAAACCCCATTTATAGATTTTATTTTTAATTTTTATAATCAACGTATATCACAGATTAATTATATTTACCTACCTATATGACATATTCTTTTTCATAATCAACCTGTCACAGATTATTGTGTCTTGCTTGTAGGTATATTATGTTTTTTCTACCTTTTAGTTAGGTTTCATATCACACTTATATGTATAATATATATATTCATATATTTGTTACTTGAGTTAGGATATAATGTTTTCAATATAGATTTATGTTAGTATATTAGTTTTTTTGTTATAGGATATTAATTAGATTCTTTGGAGTTGGAAAATGCATGATATTAGAAGATTTTAATTGATTTTTTTTATTTTTTAAAAATATAAAATGAGTAAAAGAAATAAAAACATGTAATTAGATAACTGGACTCACTCCTAAAATCTATATTGGATCTAAAAGCCCCTTAAGAAAAAAAAAATTCACGGTTATCCTTAATGAAAGTTGTATGAATACAAAAGGCATTTTAGCCAAAATTGTTCTTGAGATTGGCATAACTCATCACGTGGGTCTCTGAGATTTGAAATCCATAAAAGTGGTTCCTAAGGTTGTCTACCATCAATAATTTTGGTCCTTCCATGAAAAATCTTTCTTAATAAGGACCAAAATGACAAAAATACCCTCAATTTACTAAATAATAGGCCAAAATGATTTGACAAAAATTGAGAGTATTTTTGTTATTTTTTTCCTTATTTAACAAAGATTTCCACGGAATGAACAAAATGATTGATGGTGAATAAACTCAAGGACCACTTCTTTCGATTTCAATTCTTATGAACCAAAGTGAAGAGTTATATCAATCTCAAAGACCATTTTAGCTCAAAAGCCTTAAACACATTCGTGTGATTTCCTATGATTTATTAATGAAATTTCATTGTCGTCTCCGAACTGGATAGGCTTAAGACGAACCAATAAAAATCTTTATGTTACATTTCAATTTCTTGGTTTGTCATGTTTTGTCTTGCTAGATTATCAATCCCATTTGTACCATTTTATGGGATTGGTAGGCACAAGCTGTTTCACGACTAATTCATCTTCTGTCTTTAAGGTGGACAAATGCAGAAGAGAAGCCAAACCTAACTTGGACATGGGTAGACGTTGATATCCATTTTTTCAATCAACATTCACCAAAACTAGTTATCCAATCCAATCCTAAACACCAAACGAGTTCTTTGGACTAAAAATGTTACACGCATAGGGATAACCATAGTAAGCTAGTGTTTAATTATTAAGTGGTTTTAGTCTCATATCAATTACTAGATACATCATAGCGCATGACCATTAACCAAACAACAAAACTGAACAAGCAAAAAGAACACAAAGTACAAGTTCAAGTTGGCCAAAATGGAAGCAGAAACGCAAAGGTAAATAGCACTATCATGTATAACTATGTCTCATGTAATGGAGTTCTAAGCACACTGGCGATGAACAAAAAAAAAAAAAAAAAAAAAAAAACAGGCGAAATTACACTAAACATATGTTTCGGACCCCCTTCTCAACCACGGAATTCATATATCATCAAACGCAACCTTATACCATTGTACAGAACTCCATAACAACCTACTACTCTACTTTCACATTCTGTTCTTTCTCATCCTTTTCTTTCTCCTTCTTTTCGTTCGCACTGTTCCCTTCTTTTCCATATACCTCTTGATAATATTCTTCATCGTCATAGTATTCTTCATCATCGTAGTACTCTTCGTCATCATCCTCATCATAATATTCTTGTCCATCATCGCTGTCCACCTTACCATTTTCCAGCAGATATTTTTCTCCCGACTGCTGCCCTCGTAAGCTCTCTTGAATTCGATCTCTGATGGCTGTGCCCTGAAACATTCCCACACCGCAGGGGAAGGACACCAAAATGATGAAGACAGTTTATACTTGTAGAAATATCAGTCTATATGTAAGTGGTAATGCATATATTGTCTTTACCATTTTATGGCAACCTTCTTCAAACATCTCAAGAAATCCAGCAACCCAGCGATCAGCATTTTCAACCCATTCATTACGATGCATGGCAACAGTTTGAATCTAGAATACCGAGTCAGAAATCCACCAGTAAGAAACATAAACAGTCATTGGATTGTGTGAAAGCAATTTACAATCTAGTAATTAGCAAACGGATGGTGATGGCTTAATGCAAGAACCAAAGTAATTTCTCTCATATCAGGAGGGAGGAATCTGTTACTTCAAGACAAAAACCTTTTGTTCTCGTAAATGTATGCATGTATGAGGGTGCATGCATAAAGATTGAAGATCATAAGACTTATTAATTATACTTCATCAAATCAAGCACCCAAACAAATGTTTGCAGTAGCTATCAAGTTTGCTCTAACAATTCTACTACCTAATTAATAAACTTTAGTCCAGTCAATTTGACAATATTGCTTCATTCGTTAAGTAAAACGTTTTGACATTGTTTTTTAATTTGGTGAGATGGCTTTCTTTCCCAAAAATGGGTGATGGCTTGTGGGTACCTTGTGCCATTACATCATGCTATGCATATAGAAGCAGGGTTTAACATGTCTAAAAACTCAAGACGTGCCATGTAAGCAGGAGCAACACAAATAATATCGAACTGGAAGCTGAGAACATTATCAGTAAATCAGTTCCCTCTTAATGCCAAATTTCTGAACTTTTGCAATCAGTAAATTATGATAAGGCGGCCAATTAAGTCCATGCAAATTCTCCCATTACATCCTGCAATTACAGCAGAACAATATATAGTAAAAAGAGAATGACATACCTTCTCTCCTACCTTCTCTTGATGTTCCTTCACTTTCTCTTGAAACTTCTTCAATCTCATGTTCACCCTTAATCGCTTTTCCTATTTATACCAAACAAAATCAGAAAGATGAGTTTTTTTTCACCATGGAAAGCTTACCGTCTCAACAGCTAGGTCAATTTGGGACGAGAACCCACAAAGCCATATTACATAGTAGGAAAACTGAATATATAAAAAACAAAAAGAATCTTGCCTTCACAAAACTAACACCAAGCTCTTTTCTTGTATATCCACGATCCAAGTTACGCAACACATACTGGTTATAATCTTTTACAATTCTCATTATAATGTCCGAAGTTGAAATCCCATCAGTTCTCTTTGTTTCCTTAAACCTCCCCACGGCTTTGACCTATAAGAAAAGAACCGCTTAACAAATTATATGTTAAAGATAAAAGGAAAATAGATACAAAAGAAAAGCACTTGTCTCGAGCTTACAAATTCGTACACGTCTTGCCCAGCTCCACTTGCATCAGCATAACTGTACAAAAAAAATGCAAAGTACAAAAGAATACATAACCATTGTCACTATTAAATTTACAATAGAAAAAATGTAACAAATATGCACTTACTTTTTAAATTTATTAATATCTAAGATATACCATGTATTTCAAAAGAACGGAATACTGAGAGAAATATACTGGAGAAAACGAAAAAAAAAAAAAGCATACAAACAAAACTGAAGAATTTCATAAATGTTCCAAAAGTACTTAAGGTACCGTTTGGTACGCAGACGGGATGGAACAGGACAGGACGGGACGGAACAGGACGGATCAGATGATGTAAATATTGAAAAAGATAAGGAGAAATTTTGTCATAAAATGTTATAAATTTGTGTTCCACGGATGTGGAACGGGTCGTTCCAGGGGAAAGAGGTGGAACGAAAAATCAGCCAAATTTCGTCCTATGGGACAACCCATTCCACAGTTTTTAGGCGCACCAAACGTGGGACGGAACGGCTCGTCCCCTTCCGTCCCGTCCCGTCCCACGTACCAAACGGTACCCAAAAGTCACCAAACAGCATAACAGTAAAGCTCAAAGGTGCGAACTTGGATAAAGTATCCTTACGGTAGAGAGTCATGGGCTACAAAGCCAATCTCATGCTTGTCAAGAAATTCTTGATTGATCACCCAAGGAGCATCAGGAATGACTTCATCTACCCACCTGCAAACAAAACACATATTTCCTGCCCTTGATCACATGACTCTCATAAATTCTATCGTGAAAATGTGTCATTAATACACATTACACACACGCAATACCAAGATTGTAAGGAAGAA